TGTAAATCACAGGCCTTAGAGCTATGATCTGGAAGCCTGAGGCCCGTGGATGAATCTCTCAGGGGCTTTCACCTGCATAGACAGTGTCTGCCACTAGAGATGGGAAATGGGTTGCCGCTGAGTGCCAGCATCATCAGGCAGCACAGCTCCGTTGTCCGCAGCCCTGAAATCCAGTCTCAGATCACTTCTAGAGCTGAGATGTTCTGAGAAAAAACCTGCGTACATGTGGGTGTGCTTTTGTGGGAAAGGTCTGGAAAACTCCTGGCGCTGCCCCTTCTGAGCTGGGTGCACCCCCCCCAGTTACTGCCCCTGAGCCCCTGAGGCTCCTCTGCTGTAAAAATGGATGCACGAACTTTCTGCCTTAGAGGTCTGCAGAGACTCAATCAATCGACATTTATTAAGCACCTACTATGTACCAGGCCCAGTGGTAAGTGCTAGGGATACAAAGGGCACAGAAGACAGTCCCCGCCCTCAAGGAGTCTACAATCTAATGGGGGAGTCAGCATGCAAACAAGTATACATAAACTATATACAGGATAAAGTGGGAATAATTAACAGAGGGAAGGCACTAGAATTAGGAGAGGTTGGAGAGGGCTTCCTGTAGAAGGTGGGACTTGAGCTGAGAATTAAAGGAAGCCAGGGAGTTAAGTAGGTGGAGCAGGGAAGGGAGAACATCTCAGGCGTGGAAGACATCCAGAGAATATGTCGGGAGCCTAGAGATGGAGGATATTATTCATGATCAGCCTGGAGGCCATTGTCACTGGATCGAAGAGTCCTGTGGAGGAGTAAGGTGTAAGAGTACTGGAAAAGGAGGAGGGGGCAGGAAATGAAGGGTTTTGAATGTCACACTGGAGGCAACAGACATAGAGAGTGAGTGAGTGAGAGTGTGTGTGTGTGTGTGTGTGTGTGTGTGTGTAACATGACCAGAACTGCATTTTAGGAAAAGCATTTTAGTGGACTGGACACTTGAGACAGGCAGACCCACCAGTGACTACTGCAATAGTCCGGATGTGAGGTGATGAGGGAGCAGTATCACACAAGAACAGGGGGTGTTTTACAGAGGTTACAAAGGTGACATCAACTGCTGTTCAGTCATATGATTCTTTGTCCTGGAGGTCTGCCATTTCCTTCTCCACCTCATTTTACAGACGAGGAAACTGAGGCAAACAGGTTAAGTGACTTGCCCGGGGACACACAGCTAGTTAAGTGTCTGAAGCCAGATTTGAACTCAGAAAGGTAAGTCTGCCTGACTTCAGGTCCAGTGCTCTACCCACTGGACCACCCAGCAGCTCCTGACACGAACAGGCTTTGGCAACACCTTGGCTATGGGGGGTGGTGTGTGAGACAAAGTGAAGAATCCAGGGTGATGCCCAGGTTGTGAGCCTGGGGTATTGGGAGGGTTGTCCTCTGCAGTAATAGGGGAGGTGGGGGCAGGGAACGGCCTTGGGACGGAAGATCACGAGTTCTGTTTCGGATGAGTCTAGTTTCAGATGTCTCCCAGACATCCAGTTCCAGATGCCTGACAGTCAGTTGGTGATGAGAGATTGGAGCTCGGCAGAGTCTGGGGCAGGAAGGGTAGATCTGAGAATCATCAGCATAGAGATGGTAATTAAGTCCCTGGGAGCTGATGAGATCACCACAGGAAGTACAGTTATTCTTTCCACATGGCTGGGATTAGGGCATGGTGCCCCTTCCCCCCAATATGGAAAATCTTCATAAAATCTTTTGGCCTCCCCCTCAAACCAGCGAAGAAGTCTGAATTATTATGGTATTAAAAGATAAAATATGTTGATATTATACGACACTATGCATACATTTTATGCATTTCTGAGTTTCTGAACTTTTTCTGTGTCATCCTTTGTTTGTAGCCTGTGGTTTCTGCAAAACTCCCAAAATATTCCCATTTAATTTCTTAGGGTGATGCACAATATATCGAAACTGAGATGGGGAAAACGGAAAGGCTAACTGTAGTCTAGAGGGAGAAGAGGGCTCAGGACAGAACCCTGAGGGATACCCAGGGCCAGAGTGTGTGATCTGAAAGAACATCCTGCAAGGGTTACAGACGAGAGGTCAGAGGGACAGGAGCAGAACTAGGAAAGAGGGGCGCTCCAAAAACCTAGAGAGAAGAAAGTCTCAAGGAGGAGAGAGTGCTCTGTCCAAGGCTGCAGAGAGGTCAAGGAGACTGACGGTTGGGAAAAGGCCATTGGCTTTGGCAAGTGAGAGATCACTGATCTCTTCGGAGAGCAGTCTTGGTGGAACGCTAAGGTCAGAAGCCATATCCTAAGGGGCTAAGAGAGAGGAGAAAGCGGGGGCACTCTGTCATCTACAAAGTGCTGCAAAAGTGGGGGCCAATGATGAAGTTCCCCATCATAAGCATCTTGAGGAGAGGGACGACCTTTCCTTTTTCATATTGCATTCCTAGCCCTTAGGCCAGTTCTCGGCATACAGGAGGCATGGACCTGCTGTGGTTTGTCCTTCATTTTCCATAAGGACCAATGACATCCTGAGATGAATCTTGATTGTGTACGAGTGGGATTGAAATGAGGCCAAGCTGCACAAAGTCCTCAGCCTCACTCCCTCTTCCACAGTCATCAATGTCCAGTGGCAGGACAAAAGTCAGGATGACTGGTGATGGCCCAGGATGCGTGACCTTGGCATCTTCAATGTTTGACCAAGCTCCAAGTGCTCCTTCATGACCACTGGAACAAATTGTTCTCATCCACCCATTAACATGCTTGGGGTAGACATCTACCTAACTCCCCAATGGGTTTGAGGCCTGTCAGGTCCCCTCAACCTAGTTTAGCCTGTCTGCTAGATGGTTTACCAAGGTGTGGCAGCACCTTGGAGCCATAGGTGAGAGGTGGGTGTCAAGTGGCTACCCTAGTGGGGGAGCAGCCCTAAAAAGGGCTTGGCAAGCCCTCATACCAGAGGTGCTAATACTCCTGAACACCCCATACATATATCAGATGGATGTATTAGATGACCTGACAGGTTTACAGAATTCCTGATTATTTTCTATGTCTGATAAATAATAATTAACTGACTGGCTGGTGGTGCTAATTCTCGACTCTCTCATAATGACCTTGTGATAAAAGCATATGTAAAAATTTTTAACTCTCCCTAGAATTATTAAGAAATGCTATTTCTCACAAAAGCCCTTTTCAGAAAGGCGGGTATAGTACATCAGGACAAAAGGAAAGAGAGCCTTCCTTTAGTGACCGTTATGGGGGATAAGAAGGAACCTAATAGAGTATCTCCCATCCAGAGAGCCTTTCCTCAGCCCACCCCAAGGCACCACTAGAATACCGATCCATCTAGGGTCAATCCTTCCATTCCCTCAAGGGATCAGACTTTAGTCCACCCTGAGGGAAATAGCCTTTACTATTCAAACAGAGGAATTCACATCATCCTCTTCAATTTGTATTCTGGATATAGGTCTATGGGAAGAACCCCAATGATTTCTCTAGATTCTAGAAGAGAGGTCCCAAGTAAGGAAGGGGTTAAAGATATGGCTCCTTGATTCTGGACTATTAACCTAGGCTATCTTTTCTTTGCTCAAGACTCCCATAAATGTGATCTGAAATTGGTTGGGGGCAGTCACGTCAGAGGTCATGGGGGATGACTGATTCCAGTCTGGACATCTCTCCAGTTAGAAATGCCTTTGGTGTTCATGTTAAACAGAACTTGAGACTAATTCCTAGGGTGCTGTATTAGTATTAACATCTGTCTTCAACAAAATGATTCCCAGGTCTCCATTTCTGGTTCTTGCTCCAAGTCTCTGGCCACCAACTGCACATTTCAAAGTAGACGTGCCACAGACATTACGAACTCGACTGTCTGCAACAGACAGTCCTCCCTGATTCTGGACATTTAACACATCCTGACATCCTTCTTGTCACTATCCTTTCAACCACTCGAGCTCACATGTTCCATCATCCTCAACTTATTTTTCTCCCCTATGCATCCCATCAAGTCACCACATCTAATCAGTTCTGTCTCCAGAGTTTCTCTCACATTCCTCCTTTTCTCCACTCAGAGGCGGCCCCCCCTTACCCCCCCCATTATATTGTATTTGAACTTGGGAAGACAAGTCTGCCTGACTCCAAGCCCAAAATTTTCTCCATGTTCCACTAGCTGCCCATCACAATTAGTAAACCACCCAAATTCCCTGGAATAACTTCCACATAGCATTTGTTTAATAAGTGCTTTCTGAGTGATGATACTGAGTCTAAAAATCTAAGACCCGTGGCTTCTAAGTCTGAGGATGTGGGTTCAAGCCCTAACCCTGCTACCTCTGTGACCTTTGTTCTATCTGGATCTCAGGTTTTTAATATGTAAAATGGGGGGGGAAGGGTCAGACTGGATGACCTCTACCGTCACTTTCAGTTCCAAATGTTATCACTGTAAGAAATTGAAAGAGCAGAACCAGGAGAATGTTGTACACAGTAACGGTCACGTTGTGCAATGACTAATATTGACAGACTTAGCCCTTCTCAGCAATACAAGGATCTAAGACATCTCCAAAGGCCTCATGATGGAAAATGCTATCCACATTCAAAGAAAGAACTATGGAGTTTGAATGCAGATTGAAGCACATTATTTGCTATTTTTTTTTCTTCTGTTGTGTTTTGTTTCCTATTTCTGGTGGTTCCTCCTATTGATTCTAATTCTTACTTACAACATCACTAATGTGAAAATATATTTAATAGGAATGTATATGGATAGCCTATATCAGATTGTGTGCCGTCTTGGGGAGGGAGGGGGAGAAAAATTTAAAACTCAAAAGCTTATGGAAGTGATTGTTGATAAATCAAAATAAATTGATGAAAAAAAAAACAAAGAAATTGAAAGGCCTAAGAGTCCATGACTGCCAGATGACAAGAACACAATTCTAAAGTGCTATGTCTGTGGATCTAAGATTTGATCTATGGCCCCAAGATTCCTGGACTCTTTGTGAGGGGGCATGGGAGGCCAAAAGCTAAGGGTCACACTTATACAGATACCATCACACACAGAAATCTGGCTTTATTTGAACCCTAACACAGCTACTGCCCAGAAGACAAAGACTTGATTGGCGGCTCTGCATCCCCCAGTGATCCCTTTTCTCAACCCTATACCCACCCTCTAAGGAGAGGTCAGCCTCACACCTCCCCTCGAGCATGCAGCATGAAGTGGCCATGCAGCTCCCCAAGGTCGTCGAATGAATCCTCACACTCTGTGCAGTGGTAAGCACCCCCCTCATCCCCAGGGGGCCCATCACCTCCGGTGGAGGTGGCCCCTTCGTCCTCATCCTCTTCTTCATCCTCCTCGTCACCCACCTGGCGCTGAGCAGCAATGCGGGCAGAGGGTGTTGCCTGGGGGGCAGCTGGGCGACAGAGCCGACAGGGTGGGCCCCCAGGGGCTGCAGCACCCTCCCCCGGGGGTGGGCGGCCACACAAGGCGCAGGGCTGGGGTGGGGGCCCTGGGGGTGCGGCAACCCGAGGGGCCCTCCGAGAAGGCGCCCCTCGCCCCCCACCAAGACGCTGCTTCACCTTGTAGCCAGGATCATATTCTGGGTCATCTGTTGTTTCCTCTTCCTCCTCCTCCTCTTCTTCATCCTCGTCTGAGTCGGGCTCTGAGAGTGTATAGTCCGAATCGGAGGGGTGCTCTGGGCCTGCCGAGAAAGGGGAAGTTCAAGAGATCGTAAACGAGGCCTAGAGAACTACTGCTAGTACAGGGGGCAAGGCTTCTCCCCATTTGCGTTTTCTGAACGCTGTGTGTGTGTGTGGGGGGGGGGTGGCAAAGATGTTTTCCCTGGAGAGCTCAGGTTTCAGCACCTCACCTGGGGACAGCTCCTCTTCATCCTCCTCCAAGCTGGCATAGCCCCCAGTCTCAGTGCTCTCCCGAGTCTCCGTCATGGCCGGGGGAGGGTGTGAGGAGGGGGGATGTCCAGCGGTGACAGCAACAGCAAGATGGGTTCCCCCCCCCAGCCAGCTTTCCACAGCAGGGACTCTTCTCTCCAGCGGTCCTGGCCTTCACACCAACACTGAGCAGTGACAGCAGGGAGAGATGAGATTCAGGAACAGAGCTGGACCACCTCTCAGGCACTGCCTGAGCTGGCCTCTCTGGGGAGCAATTAGAGTGGTACCATTTTATAGAGGAAGAAACTAAGGCCCAGAGACCGAGGTGCCTCCAAGAGGGGGAAGTCCAGAGGAGACGCTCCTGCACCTATGAACTGTGGGAGTCAGTAAGGCCTTCCCAGGGGAGGGATGACGGAGGATGCATTGGGGCAGCAAGATGCTGTAATGTTAATGGAAAGCCCATGGTGCTCCAGGACCACGTGGCCTGTGTGCAGCCTGCTTTGTACTGTATGTGTTTGCATTAGATTGGAAGCTCCTTGAGGGGAAGGGCTCTTCTGCATCATTTTGTCCCCCCAGTGTTTAGCACACGGTAGATGCTTGATAAATGTTTACTGGATGTACTGCTCCCAGAATGCACTAGGGCCCAGGATGGCGAGGTGGCCATGATGTGACCAGGGTGGTAGCGCTCCCTCCTGGGATGCCCAGGGCACCCTGGCCCGGCTCCATGCACGAGACCAGACAAAAGGAGCCCCACAATGCACCAGGGCACCTTGTCCTCACTCCCACAATGCACAGGGCGAGTCTGGTCCCGCTCCTGGAAGACACCAAGGCCGAGGGCCAGGCCCCCACGATGCTGGGGGTCGGCTCGGTCCAGCTCCCAAAAGAAACTGGGGCAACGTGGTCCACTACCCATTATTCACGCGGTCACTGTGCCCGGCTCCCAGAATGCACCAGGGCACTATGGTTCAGTTCCCAGAACGCACTGGGGCACTAGAGCCCGTTTCCCACAGTGCAGCGAGGCCGCCTCCCCCAGCTCCCAGGATGCCCCAGGGCGGCCCCTCTCCACTACCATGCCCCAGTGGGCTCCGGGACAATGAGCCCGGGGCGCCGCCATGCTCCCAGGCCGGCGAGAGGGGCGGGGCCGGCGGGAGGGCGCGCGGAAGCGGCCCCGCGGACTCCCGACATGCCCCGCGCGCGCGCCCCGCCCCTCCCCTCCCCTCCCCCGGGCACTCACCACCGCTGGCGACCTCGCTCCGCTCGCTCCGGTCGGCGGCGGCAGCACGCAGGGGCCCAGCGCCTGCGCAGAACGAGCTTCGTCGGCGACGACTCTGGCGGCGGGCGCGGGGCAACGCGGAGCGGTTGGCGGGCGGGACCCAGGGCGCCTGCGCGGTGGACCGGACCATCCCGACCGGGGCGCGGGGGGGAGCGGTGGCAGGAGCGGTTCATCAGAGACCCCCGGAGGGTCCCGCCTCCCCCGCTCTTCCTGGTTTTGGTAGAACCGGGGCGGGGCCTTGGGCCCGTTGCTAGGGGAGGGGGCTTCCCCCCCATCCCCGGCGGAGGGTCGGGGGTGGCGCGTCTTTTTCCTAGAGCGGGGTAGGGCCGAGGCTGAGCCTGGGGTTCGGATCCTCGCTCTTATGCTGTGTGACCCCAGTGCTCTCCCGCCTCCCCACTGTAAAATGACGTGATTGGACTAGATCTCTAAGCGCCCTTCCAAACCTCGGTCCTGAGTGGGAAGGGGCGGGGCCTCGGTGGCCGCAGCGCGCTCGCCCGGGGCTTGCTGGGAGAGAGGCTCTGCCCACGCACGTGCCTGGCCCGTGGGGAGGTCCGCTTTGCATATCCCCGGGCTGGGCCACGCTGGGGCGCAGCGATTTGCATTTCGGATCTGCAGAGCCCGGGGTGGGGGGCGGTCTGTGACCCGGCCAGAGAGCATGCGCAGGACCACTTAGACTTGGGGAGGGGGGCGTGCAATGCCTAGAACTCCGCCTCGAGTTAGGGGGTGGTCCCTCCTGACCCTTCTAGCGCCTCCCATCGCTGCCCCACCTCTGGTGGGAAGCGCCTACGCTCTCCCTGCCTGGCCTCTGGCCCTTCCCTGGGGCTTCTCCCCAACTCTTCCCTCGTGTCACCTAATCCCAGGCTCGCCGGTGTACCCCCCCCACCCCATTCCGTCTGCCCTGCCCCCCAGGGGACATTCTGCATCCCCGCGAATCTGGCCCTTGCCTTAGAGAACCCTCTGCATGCTAAACCCCCTCCCTTTCCTCCTCCATCTGACACCCTGGGGGCTTCGCCGCTCTCCCACTCTTCGGCGCAGCCCCCTGGGACTAGCTCACACTCTTTCCCGAGGCTTTCTTTCACACTTTCTCCACTTTCTCTCCATCTCCAGGCTTTCCCCACATTCCTCCTTCCGCCCTTCCCTGGGAGGCCTCTTCCCCCGCTCCGAATCTAGCTGCTCTCCTTCCCGCCCCACTGCCCCCCAGACAGACAACTGAGCAGTATCTTAATCTCTCCGTAGTTTAATGGTGGTTAGTGGGGCTGCCACCCCCTCCGTACCCCCCTCCCCCCCCGTACAAAACGTGTTTTTACAAGAAAAAGGCCTGGAATGGGGGTGGATCATGGTGGTGATGGGGGGGTGAAATCTGATTTTTTTTAATACAGATTTTTCATTTTTTAATATATTATATATAAAACCACAGAGACGCACACGTGGACCCTGGGCCCCTCCCCCTGGAGGCCTGGAGAAGGAGAGAAGGGATGGAGTGGTGGGGAGAGCCCTGTGGGAGTCCTGGGAGTTGGGAGAGAGGGGATCCAGGGGAGGCATGTGGTGGGTGGGGGGGGAACCCAAGCTGTGGGCAGGAGTGGGGCCTGGAGAGGGGGACAGGTCCCCCTCCCCCATCACGAGTTATGACAAAGACACAGAATCCCCATCCCTCCCCCCCCAACCGTGCGAACATGGCTTTGCAAAGAGCAGTCCCCATGTCTGTGGGACTCTCACAATGGCTGGCACAGCGCCTAGGGAGGGATCCCGGAGAAGACAAGTCCCCTATCCCCACCCCAGGCTGCTCCCCAACCCTGCCACCCCCCCTCCCCCAGTCTCTACCCCTACTCCCACCCCCTACCCCGACCCTGGACCCAAGTGTCCAGCCCCTGACCCATCAGAGACCCAGGTCTCCTCTTCCTTCTCGAGGCCTCAAGTATTCTTATCTTCCCCTTCTGGGGGACTCAAGACACCCTGATTCCCCACTCCCTGCCCCTTTGGGGACCCAGGTGTTCTGATTCCCCATTCCCACCCCCTTAGGCATCTCATCATCTGGCCCCCAGCCCTAACTTCCCTCACTAGGGCCCAGGTGCGGCCTCCTTGTCTTGCTGGACGTTAGGGGTGGGGAAAACTCCCAAATGGCCCTTGGCCCAGGTCAAAGTCTTTGCTGGTTCCGTCCTGGACTGGGGAGACCCTGCCTGGGCCAGAGCCAGGGCCTGGGCCCGGGCCAGGGACGCGGGGAAGGGTCAGATGAAAAATTCCTCTTTGCGCTTGTGTCCATCGCCCCCATTAAGAAAGGCCTCTCGGGCCTCCCCCTGCTCATCCAGTCCACTGGCCTCGTGGGTGAGATAGGAGCCTGTGGAAGGTGGGGGAATGGAGGCAAAGAGAGGAATGAAGAATGAGAACCTCAGGAGAGACGGGGCACAGAGATACGGAAACACAAAGATCAGAGACAGTCAGGCATAGACAGCACAGGGCCAGAGATAGATGTAGGAAACAGAGGGGGTGACCAAAGGAAGAGACACAAATTCGCGCGGGGAAGGACAGGGATAGGAGTACAGAGCCAACTGGAACAGAACCAGAGACACGGCCCCCAACCCTCCCCTCATCAGCCTTCTACTGTTACGCACAAGCCCCGCCTCGTCGGCTTTTCGCCAATCAGTGACCCCCTAGCCCCACCCCTCCAGGCATCCCGGCCCCGCCTCCGCTCACCCTTCTGCCGCACGGAGCACCAGACCATGCCCACCAGGACACAGATGATGAGGAAGACGAGCAGCGCCAGGATGCCACCCACGATAGCATAGGGCACCGAGGTCTGTGCCTCCACCACCGCGCCGGGGTCTGCTCGGCAAAGGAAGGCACAATTACTGGGACCCCGGCATTGCACTCGTTGACCTTTCGGGCCCGCCCCCCAGCAAAGCCAGGGGCCTTCGCTCAGACTCCCGGCCCCTCTCCTCGTGCCCATGGAGCGTCCGGTCCCGCCCCCCTCGTATTCCGGCACCCCTCTGCCCGGTTCCAGGAACCGGCGTCCCCTTCGTGCCTCACCGTAGACCACCAGGACGTAGGGAGCTCGCGCTTGGCCGTGCTTGTTTCCGGCCTCACAGGTATAGGTGCCGTTGTCTAGGGAGGTGAGGCCGGGGAGGGTGAGCGTCTCTGCCACTGCCTCTGCCCGCTCGGGGAGCGACTCGTTCCCCCGGCTCCACCGGATCTGCCCGGGCCTGCGAGGAGGAGCCAGAGAGCTCAAGGGCCCAGGCAGCCGGCCAGCCTAGTCCCCGCTCTTTGGGACTTCAGGGACCCAGGCGTCCCGATCCCCCAAACTCCCCTTCCCCACTCGCGGTTCCAGGCATTCCCAAAGTCCCCAGACATCTCAGTTTCCCAGACCCTCCTCCCTCCCTACATTCGGGGACCCAGGCATTCTGATCCCCAAGTCCACTTCCCCATTAGGGGACCTCGGCGTCCCAATCCCGCAGACCTTCCTCCTCCCCATCATTCGGGGACCCAGGCATCCTAGTCCCCCAACTCAAAACCGTGTGGGGCCCAGGCGCCCAATCCTCCCTCAGACCCTCCCCCCACCCAGCCTCAACTCACTTAAGAGTATCCCATCCACCCCATTCTCTGACCTGGGGTTCCCTGTGACAGCACAAGTCAACACCAACGTGTCTCCCTCCCTCACCACAGCCTGGGATGCGTGGATCCGGGCGGTGGGGGAGTCTGTGAGCAGAAGGGAACCAGGAGGGTCAAAGCAGGGGAAGCCCGGCAAATACCAGGTAGAGATGGAGAGCTTTCTCTCTTCCACCCCAGCCCTGCCCAGGATGGCAGAACCCTGCTCTCCCTCTGTCAGGTGGCGGAGGACAGAAGAATGGCCTGGAAAGCAGGAGACCTGGCTTCTAAGCCTTGAACTTTGCTGTCTCCTGGCTTTGGGCAAGTCACTGAACCTTGTCTGGCCTCCTTCAAATAAAGAAAAGGGCCTTACAGGATGGTAGGCAGCTAGGTGGCATAGTTGAGGGAGGGGAGGGAGAGCATTGAACTTGGGGTCTCTTTGAGTTCAAATTCTGCCATAGATGTCTGAGTAACTCAGCCTCAGTTTTCTTATCTGTAAAATGAGGATATTAGCACCTACCTTTAGAAGGCTGTTGTGAAGATTAAATGAGATATTTAATTTTGTATTATAGGCCCCTCAGAGGTTTCCTAGTCCAGCTTCCTCATTTTATAGATGAAGACACTGAGATTTATGGAATACAGTGATTTGCCCAAAGTCACAAATGGCAAGTAAGCAAGGAAAATGGAATTCAAATTCAAGTCCTCTACTTCCAAATACAGCCCATTTTCCCCCGCTGCTGTCTAAGCCAGCAGAGCTCTAATGTTCTAGGACTTGGGGGGCCTTCAGGAGCTGGATTTGGGGGGGCCAGGCACTTTTAAGGACCAAGGTATTTCTAATCCAGGCTTCCCTCCTAAACAGGACCAAACTGGATTCTGGAACTCTCCTGAGGACCTATGACTTTTGTCATTTCTAGTCTCTGATCTAGTATCACACTTAGTGAAGCTGAGAGCTGAGACTGTTACCCCTGAGGATGAGGTTGAACTCTAGATTATGGCCAGGGGAGAGCTGGTTGTGTGACTTTAGGTTCTCTGGGCCTTGGTTTCCTCATCTTTAAAATCTCGAGGGGTAGGTTCAGTGATGTCTGAGATTTCCTCTCTCAGCCTCAGATTCCCTATCTGTCAAAAGTGGGAGTAAAAGTGAAAAGTGTCCAAAGTCCCTTCAGGCTAGAACACCCTTTGGTCTGTTGTGTTTTGAGTACTGTGCCCTTTCCCCCAGAGCCTGGTCACTTACACTGGACATCCAGCACGTACTGAGTCTGCTTGCTGTGGCCTGGAGGGAGGGCTGCATTTTGAGCCTCACATGTCACGATGCCGCCATCATCTTTCCGGTCCACTTGGAAGCGCACTGTGCTGGCCACACTCCACACCTTCCCGTTCTCCTGTCGGCTGTCCACACCTGCCCAGGGAGGCCAGTTCCCTTGGGGTCAAAGTTCCTGATCCACCCCCTCAGATTCCCCTATGGCCCAGCCCTTAAGGATTGCCTCTTTTCTCCAGAAAAGGGACCAGACTGACCAGACCGTTTCCTGGCTGTACCCCTCCCCTTCCCCAGTTGCCTTCCCCCTGCCCTTTCCCTCTCTCACACCCAGGCCCTCCTTCAGCTTCCTCTGACCTCGGAGTTCTTTTCTGTCCCGGTACCAGCGAAGCACGGCTGGAGGTCGGGATCGAGGCACAACACAGCTCAGCTCTACCTCGCCGCCTTCCACAGCCTGCTCCCGACCTTCCACTATGGGGTTCTCCGGGGCCACTACAATAAGAGATAGAGGGGACCTTAGCACCCACAGTGGGGAGATGAGTGAGGATGCCGGCAAAACACTCTACCTAGATTCACATTCAATTCAAATCTGGGCTCTTCCACTTACTAGTCAGTCAATAAACATTTATCTGTCTGTCTATCTGTCTATCTATCTATCTATTTATTTATAGGCAAGTGGGGTTAAGTGACTTGCCCAGGGTCACACCAATAAAACATTTATTAAGCAACTATATGCCAGGTGATTGGGCAGGCCACTTAATCTCTCTGGGACTCAGTTGCCTCATTGGACAGAGGGTTGGCCCTAGACAGCCTCTCTTTTTGCCATTCTCCATACAGTCATCCCATCTGTCCTCTCAAAGCCTTTGCATAGGCTCTCCCCAAGCTTCTTAAGCACTCCTTTCTCACCTGTGCCTCTTCCAAACCCTTACCTCCTTCAAAAAGCTTTTCCTGAACCCAGCAATTGTTAATACCTCCCTCCCCCCACTACTTTGTATACATTTTGAATTTACTTATCTACTCATGTTGTTTTCCCCTCCCACCATAAAAGGTAGGCTCCATGAGAGCACAGGGTGATTCTTTTCTCGTGTGTCTTTGCATCACAAGCAACCTCTCATCTCCATCTGCCGTATAGTTGCCATATTGGACTACTTGCCTTTCCTCATGCATGATACTATATCTACCGTATCTGTGCCTTTGCAATGTCTGGCCCCTCTGCCTATTTAATGGATATGGATGTCTATGTGCCAAGCACTATGATAAACATTGGGAATACAGAGAAAGACCAAAGACAGTCCCTGCTGTTCAACAGTTCACAGACTAATAGGGGAGAGAGCATACAGACAGCCACATAAGAGCAGCTAAAGGCAGGATAAATTGGAGATCAGCGACAGAAGAAAGGCACTAGAACAAAGGCGGATCAGGAAAGACTTCTTGTAGAAGATAGGGTTTTTAGCTGAGACTTGAAGGAAGTCAGAAGGCAGAGGGGAAGAGGGAGAGCATTGCAGGAATGAAGGACAGCCGGAGAAAATGCCTGAAGTGAGGATATGTCTTGTGTGAGGAACAGGAAGGAAACCAGTCCTATGCCTTGCAGAGAGGGAGTCTGTGTGACCTCAGACTTGTTCCCTATCACCAGTTTGATCTCTGAGCAGAATCACTCTTATTCACATGACTTCCAACCCTCTGCCTCTGATTGTAGACAAGGACCTTCATGTGCTCATCCATTTACCCAGAAGTTTATGAAGTGCCGACTGTGTGCAAGGCATTATGGTAGGCAACTGGAATCCAATCAGTCAATATGCATTTGAAAATGTCTTCCCACTCTTCCACATCTGGTTCCTTTCTCCACTGACCCAACCCACACCACTATCTCTGTCAGTCTCCCCACCCAGGACCGCACTCTCCCCTACCCCTTTCACTGACCCATCCTTCTCTCCCTAGCTTAGACACCAGGGCTGGAATACATCTGGGGCTTGTGGGGACTTATCCCAGTTGCACTTGGCACCAGCTGATTTAAGGTAACCTTGGATGGAGAAGGCACTAGCAATTGAAGGGACCAGTGAAGCTTTCCTACAGGAGGGACACTTGAGTTGAGTCAAAAGAAACGAGGCACCCCAAGAGGCAAAGATGAGGAGGGAAAGACTTCTAAGTCCCCTTCTGTGCTCTGACATTGCCACCACCCTGGTGCAGACCCTCATCACCTGGACTACTGCACTAGCCTGCTTGTGGGTCTGCCTGCCTCCAGCCTCTCCCTATTCCAGTCCATCCTCCACTCAGCCACCAAAGTGATCTTCCTTCTGAACATGCCATTCCCCTACTCAATCAACTCCAATAACTCCCTCTTACTACCAGTATCAAATATAAAATCTTCCATTTGGTATTCAAAGCCCTTTGGAACCTGCTTCACACCCCAACACACACACACACACACACACACACACACACACACACACTTCTAGGATTCTTATACCTTATAAGTAAGGAAACTGAGGTAAATAGGGTTAAGTGACTTGCCCAGGGTCACACAGCTAGTAAGTATCTGAGGCTGGATTTGAACTCAGGAAGATGAGTCTTCCAGACTCCAGGCCTGATGCTCTATTCACTATGGTGCCATTTATAGGTCTACCCATAGAAATGGACATTTTGGTTTTCCCCAGTAGAATTCAAGCTTTTTTGGAGGGGGGGGTTAAGTGACTTGCCCAGGGTCACAGAGCTAGTAAGTATTATGTGTCTGAGGTTGGATTTGAACTCAGGTCCTCCTGAATCCAGGGCCGGTGAATATTTTTTTATTTTTTTGGTGAGGCACTTGGGGTTAGGTGACTTGCCCAGGGTCACACAGCTGGTAAGTGTCAAGTGTTTGGTCTGAGGCCACATTTGAACTCAGGTCCTCCTGACTTCAAGGTCGGTGCTCTATCCACTGCGCCACCTAGCTGCCTCTTGAATTCAAGCTTCTTTAAGAAGTAGGGCCTGTTTGGTTTTTCTTTTTACATTTTTAAATGCATATTGACTGATTGGATTCCAGTTGCCTACCATAATGCCTTTTATATAGTAGGCACTTTATAAACTTTTGGGTGAACTGATAGTCCTCGCCTATAATCAGAGGGTAGAGGGTTGGAAGTCCTGTGAATCAGAGTAATTCTACTCAGAGATCAAATTGTTTTTGTTTTTTTGGCTAGGCAATGGGGTTAAGTGACTTGCCCAGGGTCACACAGCTAGTAAGTGTTATGTGTCTGAGGCCGGATTTGAACTCAGGTCCTCCTGACTCCAGGGCTGGTGCTCTATCCACTCAGAGATCAAATTGGTAACAAGTCTGAGGTCACACAAACCAAAGGGAGCTTGGGCTGAGGTCACAGAGATTCAAGGTAAGCAGGATCCCAAATCTTTCAGGCTTCAGACCATTTTTGAAGGGCCTTACCAAGGACAGTGAGAGTTGCAATCTGGTGATGGGTGTCTTCTGTGTACAGCTGGCAGAAATAACCACCCTCATCATCTAGCCGGGCATCTGAGAGCTTTATTCGGACCCTTCTCGGGGAGAACTCCTCCAGTTGGAAACGCTCATCCTTTAAGGCTAGGAGAAGATCACAGAGGGTGAGATAGGACCCAAGTGCCCTGACTCCCTGCTCCCCCTACTGTTTCTAAAACCCTCCCCAACTCTGTCTTCCCACTCTTCCACAACTGGCTCCTTTCTCCACTGACTCAACCCACACCACTATCTCTGTCAGCCCCCCCAACCAGGACCACACTCTCCCCTACCCCTTTCACTGGCCCATCCTTCCCTCCCTAGCTTAGACACTAGGGCTGGAATACATCTGGGACCTGTGAGGACTTGTCCCAATTGCACTTGGCACCCAGGGCCCCAGGTTTGCTGATCTCCTAGTCTCCCATCCCAGAAGCACCCCAGGCATGCAGCCTGCCTCACCCCTGGTGCCATTGAAGAAGAGTGTTTGCCGGGCTGGGTTCTGGAGGACAACGATGGACCCGTCATACTGGTGTAGTCTGCAGGTGATCTCTGCCACCCCGCCCTCCGCTACAGTCACATTCTCAGTCTGCACCCCCTGGGCCGACCCTGGTCACCAGAGGTACATTGAGATATACAGGCTTCACAGGCAGGCACAGAACTACCTTTCAATCATTTCTGCCCATCTCTATACTTTCATCATTCCTGTGGCTAAACCAAAGCCCACCTTACTTCTTATTTCCATCCCCAACCATACATCTCCCTTCCCTGGCTCCAAAGCCATCCTTCATATCTATCCCCAGCCACATTTCTACCAATCCAACCTCTATCTTTTTTCCTCTCACCTCCAGGACATGCCCCATCCCTAGTCCATATCCACCTTACCCGTAACTACATTTCCACCCCAATTTACCCTTTTTATTTATCTAGAAGCCTTATCTCCACAGCTCACCCCAAACCATACCCCAGTTTATTTCTTTGCCCACCCTGGCCATCTCTCCCCCTCCCCAATTCAGATGCTCCATCACTATTCCCATCCTGCTCCATCTTCATTTTCAACTGTGTTTCCATTTCTCCCCTCTACCCTCCCCAGTCCCATCTCTTTCCTGGTCCCCATCCCCCTCCTGTCCCTGGGGGGTCTCTGTGTGCCTCCCTCCCAGTCTCAGTAACAAGCTGGGCTCGTGGCAGGAATCTTAATGTCCCTAGAGCCTTTGTGTCCATTGGGAGTGTGTGTGTGGGGTGGGGGTGGTGTCGGGAAGGGGGAGGGGCGAGACTGAAGGCCCTAGGGAGGAGGCTGGGCCAGAGGGCTGAAGGCTGGGCCAGAGGGCTCAGGCTCCTGGGCGCGGGCCCTTTAAACCTAAGGTTGTGTTGACAGCGCCAGGGCATTGCCATAGAGATAGTGCCAGGAGCAGCAGGAGGAGGAGGGGAAAAAGAGAGGGATGGAAAGGAAAGGGACAAGAACTCAGGAGTCGTTCTCCCCTATCTTCCATTCTGCTTTGAGTCCCAGGCGTCCTGATTCTCCAGTCTCCTCCCCTCCCCTCAGAGAACCGTGTATCCTGATTCCCTCCCCCAGCCCGGATTCTATGGGGACCCAGGAGTACTGACCTCCCCCACCCTCAGGGACCCAGGCATCCGGGCCCCGGCTGTCACCAAGACAGGTTTTCACCAAGACAGGCTTCCGTGGTGATGGACCGATCCCAGGGAAGGGGGGAATCAAAAAGGAAGGGGGGGGGGGCGCCCCTCACGCTGAGTCAGCGAATCCCCGTGGGAGGCTCAAGGTCGCTCAGCGGAGAAGGTCACCCCCCCAACTCCCAAGATTCTGAACAATTCCCCCAGGTTTCTGGAGGTGGTACATTCCACGCCCCCCACCCCCCATCAATGGCCGAGTCCGGAGCATCCTTTGCACAAAGCCCCGATTATTCCAGCTCTGGGTGTAAAGGAGCCTGTATTCCAGGGACCCAAGCTCCCGGCTGCCCTCCACCCCCAGTCTCCCAGACCCAGGTGCCATATCCTCCTTCTCCTCCCCCTCCAAACTTAAGAATCCAGGCACCCAAACGGACCTCTCGCTTAAGGGACCCAGGAGCCTGAAAGCGCCTTCACCCCACTTCAAGGCCCCAGAGAACTGAATTCCTCTTCCATCTCCAGCTCAGGGACCCTCACTGACATTAGCCAGACACCTGAACAGCCCTCCCTCCACCTTCATCTCAGAGACCCAGGTACCTGGGCTCCCACTGTGCTACATACTCAGACATTGGGGTTTGAGGGCACCTAGTCTCCTAAGGACTTCAGTTTGAGCTTCAGGTAGCACAGGGAGTTAAGCATCTGGGCTACCAGGGACCAGGTATCTGGCTTCCCAGCCTCTGAGGTACCCAGGCAGCTAGGCTTTCTGACACCTAGTCTCTCAAGGACCCAGTGATTCTAACATCTAGTCTTCCTGGGGACTCAGGTGCATGGGCTTCCAGTCTCCCAGGAATCTAGGTATTAAAGCTCCCAGTCACCGAGTCACCCAGGCATCTGGGTTCTCAGTGATCCTGGTGCCCTGAATTTAAGCCTCCTAGAGACCCAGGTACCAGGCTCTCATCCAGTCAGAGATCCAGGTTTCTGAACCCCCAGGCCCTGCTCCTCAAGGGACCCAGACTCCTGGGTCTGGCAGGGGAATGTTGGTGGGGGTGGGAAGGTTGAGTCAGCAGTTGGAGTCACACAAAGCCCCCCTGTGGCCCCCGCATTCCTGGGATTCCCTGAGCTCCCAAGATGCTGGGCTGAAGCCCAAGCTGGGGGCGGGGATTCCTAGGAGGCTTTCCCTGAAGTGTCCCAATATGTCACTCAGGAAGCACCCTGACTAGTCTGGGCACCTGAGGGTTGGAGAGGAATAGAAGGTCAGGCTACCTAGGTTCTGGCAGGGTTGGGCATCAGAATCCTTTGGTTCTTGAAGAGTAGGGGCTGTGAAGGAAAATGTTCCCTGGTGCCATAAGGGGTTGGGAACTAATAAGTCTGTCTATCTCCCTCCCTGGGGGAGAGAAAGCCTGCTTTGTCCTGGCGGTGACAGAGCTGCCTCGCACGGCATTAACCACCCCCGGCTTCAGGCACCTCAGGGACCCAGGCATCCTCATCCCCCAGGCCTCACCAGACCCATCAGGGACCCAAGTGTACTGACCCTCCCCCTCTCCTCCCAGTCCTTAGAATTGCAGAGTTGAAGAATTTAGATGTTTCCCCCGCTCCCATGACATTTCCCTCCCTGCCCAACCCCAACCATCACCCAAACCCAGGGCTTCCTCCCATGAATGACTCAGAAGGGCCCCATTCAAAAAAACAGAATTCTGTCTCCATAGCAAGGCACACATCAGCTAGTCTTCCTGGGGGGGTGGGGGTGGGGGTGACCACTGAAGGTCTTTGTGTTTTAGTGTCTCTATTCCTGTTTCTTCCTGTGTTTGTCTGTTTCCACATATCTCTCGGTGTTTCTGTGTATCCTTTCTTCCCTCTAGTACCTTTCAAATGTCCTTCCCAGAGTGGCAAGTAGGATGGCTCTGTATTGGGGAGAGCTAGAGGAAAGGTTCAGAGCCAGATAAGTGGCTCCAGAGCAGCTCCCAGTAGCCTAAAAGGTGAGTATTTCCCTTAGCCATTCCCTCCCCCCCAAGTCTGTAAATCTGGAGACAAGGTTCATAACACGTCCAAGCTAGAAAGACCCATGGACACATCATCACACCCAACCCTCTTGTTTTCCAGATGGGGAAACTGAGGCCCAGAGAGTGGGAGGGATTCCCCCAAGACCACATGGTGAATTTCTAGTAGAGAGTCAGGACTAGAACTCAAGATCTTCTGACTCCCAGGCATGGACTCTTCCTATCACATCACAAGTGGCCTTTCACTGTGTTCTTCTAGGGGAAAGTTTACTTACAAGATTAAGGCATGGTATCTACCCTCAGTAGAACTCAGTAAAACTCAGTAGAAGCTGGATGACTTTCTTTCTCTCTGGGATTCTAAGAGCCTCTCACTCTGAGATTCTAAGACTCAGCATTTAAGAATCTAGAACTCACAAAGTTGAGATTCTAGCACCTATCATTGAAGATCTAGAGGTTGGGGCTTTTCATATTCTAAAAGCTATGCTTGTATAGAACTGAGGCTTCAGATTTCAGAGCTTATAAGAGTCTATAGGATTCATGAGCTGTTCTCAGAGCCTAGTTCTCCAAGGTATAGAGAGTGAATGAGTCTTGTCAGAGCCCAGAGTACATGTGAAGAAGCTAGAACTCAGGAATCTTTTCAGATTCTGGAGCCTGAATGTACCAACCTCTGGTTTGTGAGTCTTTGATTTTGAGGGCATAAGTGTAAGACTCTGGGACAGCACCCTAAAGCTTGGATTTTGTATCCTGAAAATCTGTGACTCCGAAAGTCAAAGAACTCATGATTCTGTGAAGATATAAGTACTATGGAAATTGTAACTTGACTGTCAGGAGATTGGAGGAAATGATGGGAATTTGCAGGGAAGGTGAAGGAATGCAGAATGACAATGGATTAGAGACATGGTGTTATATGTCTCTGGGATGGACCTAGGAAGAGGATCCTCCGATGCCAGAGACACCAGGCATTTGGTTCTTTGGGCCTGAGCCTGGAGATGCCTGAGCCCTGAAAGCAAGAGAACTTAGATTTGGAAAGGGTCTTGGAACCTAGAATGTAGAATGTCTGAACTGGAAGGGACAATGGACTGTCAGAGCCAGATGACCTTAAGCCATAGAATATTAGAACACAGGATGTTAGATGAGATTCTAGAAGGGAACTTAGACTATAAATTGCTAGGGCCAGAAGAATGTCAGGGCTAGGAAGAACATAGAATGTCAGAGCTGGAAAAGACCTTAAGAGTTCCAGTCTACCACTCCTCAAGTTAAAGAGAGGGAAACTGAGGCCCAGAGGGGAGAAGGCACTTGCCAAGGGGCACAGGCAACACTAGACAAATCCAGTTCTCCTGGCTACCAGTCTAGGGTTCTTTCCATGGCACCAGATTTCAGCTGTCTCAAACCTATGAGAAGACCAAACTCTGATCGATCTTCGACTGGGCAAGTCCCAACCCAGCTATGTACCTCTTCAGTGGCCTCACCAGGAGGCTCCATAAGGGCTCTCTACCTGACTGCTCTTCGAAGGGCTAAGAATCCGTCAAGGAGGAGGCTACGTCTGGAGAGCTGTGTGTATCACAGAACCACAGGACGTTTGAGGTGAAAGAGATCTTTGAACATAGAGCATAGATATGGAAGGGAGCTTAGAATATAGAAGGTGGAGGCTGGAAGGTCTAAGCCAACCCCATCATTTGTCAGAGGGAGAAATGGAGGACCAAAGCAAGACTTGCCCAAGGTCACATAGGTAAGTAAGTAGCAGAGCTGAGGTCTGATCACTGGCCTCTGTACTCCAAGTCCAGAGGTCTTTTCACTCCCCCACGTTGTCCTTCCAGTGTGCGAATGTATGCGTTTGCTTGGTTCGGCAGGCGTTGACACAAGTTTCCCCATTATGTGTTCTCTCATATCCACCTTCATCCAACTCTCCAGCTCAGACCCTAATCTGGTGGGAATGGGGAAAGGCGGAGGGGCAGGGGTCAAAGGAGGACATGAATGAAGAAGGGGACAGGAGGCCGGGAATGGAAAAATAGGGATGGGAAAGTAGACAGAGATGGGGAGTAGGGATAGCAGAGATGGAGGGGGACAAAGGGAGTATGAGGGCAAGGATAAGAAGAGGGACAGAGGGATAAGGATGGTGCAGAGCCAGGGATTCGAGGGTCAGGAAGAATGGGATGGAATAGCAGAAAGATGAGGATAGAGGGAATGAGGGGACAGCAAGACCGAGACTGTGAGGAACGGTGGGCTAGAGGGATGGGAAAGACCGACAAAGACGGGCCTCTTTGTGCCGGGGCCAAGCCGGGGCCTGCGTCTGTGCTGGGGTCGGTGATGTGGGATAGGCAGGCTGCCGCAACCCTCCCTCCGAAACCCCCGCTCCCCTTCTCCCTCTGGACCCCAACCCAAGCACCGAGGAAACACCGATCTGGCCCGGCGGCGCATCGGGGCACGGGGCACACACACCAAGGATGCGTCTCCCCTCACTCCCCACCCCGTCCTGCGGGTCTGGGCTCCGGCTTCCTTTCTTTGTCGGGGGTGTGTAGCGGCGGGGGCGGGGGAGAGGCGCGAGACTGGAGGTGAAGTGGGGAGGGTGCCAGGGATTCGAAATGGAACCGGGAGGGCTTGGGGTACGGGAACAGGGATCGAACGCGGAGCGGGCAGGAGATTCGAAATGGATCCGGGGATCGGGGAAAGGGATGGAACGCGGAGAGGACAGGAAATCCGAAATGGAATGGGGAGGGGGAAGCGGGGAGAGGGGAGAGAGACCCGGGATAGAACGCGGAGGGGGCCGGAGATTCGACATGGAACTGGGTGGGGGGGAGTGCGCTACACAAGGGATGGAACGCTGAGGAAATGGAAGGGCAGGGGGGGGGGGCGCGAGACGGGGTGCAACGCAGGGCGGCCAAGAGATTGTGAACAGCAACGAGGAGGGGACAGCGGGGAGGAAGAGGCCGAGACGCGCGAAGGGCAGAGAGCGCGGGGTCTGCCCGGCCAGGGATGCTCGGGGAGGTCGGGCCGCGGGGATGTGTTGGGGGGGTGTCTGCGGATACATCGCATTGTTCTGGCCCCTGCAGCAGCCGTGACCGTCCTCCCCCCGCCACCCCTGTCCGCCCTCTCCCCCCAGCACAGCGCCCCGAGCCCGCTCCTTACCTGTCCCGGCCGCGGCCGCCCAGACCAGCAGCAGCGGCCACTGGAAGCGCCGGGCCGGGCCCATGGTGCCGCCGCCGCCGCCGCCGCCGCCGCTCGCTCCCGGCCCGCTCCTTCCCTCCCTCCCGCCCTCCCTCCCTCCCTCCCTCCCTCCCGCCCGCTGGCTTGCTCCGGCCCCGCACCTGCACCGCCCGGCCCGGCCCCGCCCCCTACCGCCTAATGAGAGCGCGGGGCGGAGCCTGGGGAGCCCAGAAGGAGGGGGGAGAAAGGCGGGGACAAAGTTGTGGGAGGAGGATCGTAGGATCACAGGGTTTACGGCTGAAAGGGACCTCCGAGGTCATTCAGTCGACCTCCTTCATTTTAGAGGAGGAAACTGAGTTGCACAGGGGAAAGTGACTTACTCAAGGTCACACAGCCAGTCAGTACCAGAGCCTTGGTTGTTATTGATTTTATCACTATTATTATTACTGGAAGAATCACAAGCTATCAGAGCGGGATGGGCCCTCAGAACACCGAACGTCAGAACTGGGAGGGCCCTTGGATCATAAAAAAGTCAGCGAGAAGGGCTCTGAGACCCCTTAACAGAATGCCAACGTAGGACACGGGCCATGCCTCCCAGTGGCCCTGTCTAAGGGCTTTGTGCACTTCACTCGTTGGTCCTGGCCACCAAAATGAAACTTCAAAATGTGAAAGGAGGGGTGAGGTGAATCTGCCCGAGATGCAGAGAGCCCTTGATAGTTTGTTGGAAGGACAGCCTCTACAATGTTAATGAACAGATGCAGTTGGGTGGATGTTAAGCCGGCAGTTACGGGGACTTTCTAACCCTGAGTCAGATAAAGCTTTCATACAAAGCAGCTGCCCATGGTAAGCAGGAAGCGGAGTTTTAAAAAATAGGCAATGCCTCCAGGCACTACTGTTCTGGATTCCCACAAGCTTGGTCCCCGGGGTGAGGAATCTCCTTCTGGAAAAGAAAAGCCTATCACAGTCAAGACCAAGATGATTGGCAGTCCCTCCTTATGGTAGGACTGGAAAAGCAGCTAAGGGATTTTCCCTAGCCCAGTGCTTGGATGTGTGATGGCTTTGTCTGTCTAAAAGAGAGGGCAAGAGCCCATTCTTCTCCTTGGGGAGAAGATGTAGAATATCAGCAAAGGGCTCCAGCTGAAGCTGGAAGTGGAGGAGGGCTCCACAACCTAATGCCCACAGGACCAGGGAAACACCACCAAAGGAATCACACAAGGCCAGCAGGAGAAGTGCCATGCCCACATGCTGCCTACCTGCCTACACCTGCCAGTAGAGACCAGTGAGAAGCAGGCCCAGCAGGCCTGGATCACTGGAAGGGATCAGAAGTCCTTTAGAGTCAGAGAGCTGTGTGCATCATTCCCCCATGTGTTCACTCCAACATTTCTTACTTGCTCTCTCCATGTGCACTCTAGTACACACTTGTCCCTCCATGTATGTACCTTGGTCACATGTGTACCTCTCCACACAGCTCCCTAATTCTGTCCACTCTTCCCACTGATGATATGTGCATCTGTGGGAGAGTGAACCCCAGGTTTATGCTGGGAATATTCATTTGGCTATTTTTTCTTGTATTATACAATTTTATTAGTAGATAGCTAGGTGGGGCAGTGGATAGAGCACCATGTCTGGAGTCAGGAAGAACTGAGTTCAGATCTGGTCTCGGATGCTAGTGTGAGCCTTACCAAGTTACTTAGCTTCTGTCTGCCTCAGTTTCTTCAACTGTAAAATAATAGCATCTACCTCTTGGGGTTGTTATGAGGATCAAATGAGATAATATTTGTAACATGCTTAGCACATAGTAGGCACTTCATACTTGTTCCCTCCCACCTCTTCTCTTCCACTTATGACATGGCTTTGCTTTGAATTAATTGAGAAGTGACATGAGAGTAGAATCTGAGAGAACTGGCATATGATTGACAATGGGAGGTGAGAGAGGTGGAAGGATTGAGGATGACACTGACGTCATGAACCTGGTGCCTGGAAGGATGGGGCTGCTCTTAACAGAAACAGGAAAATGAAACACAGAATGTCAGGGGGTGGGGGCGTTGTTAGGATTTGAACTCAGATCTACTGACTCCCAGTCCAAGGCTTTTTCCTTTATGTCATGATGGGAGACTAAGAGGGTGAGTGTGCAAGGGCTGATGTGTGGCCGTGCTTCGAAGCCTTTGTGTGAGAGGGAATCATTGTGGAGAGATGAGTATATAAGATGTTTCATGTGATTAACGAGTTCCAGAAGGAGTGTCTAAGGAGCAGGGGAGATAGTAAATTCAAGGATACATGTGCAAAGGGTTACATAGGAGAGGAAGTGAGTTTGTCACAGATCATTGTGTAAAAGGTGAGTCTGAGACAGTGAGTGTGAAGAAGGTAAGGACATGGGGCAGTGTGAGGGAGGGTGTTCTAAAGTGTGGGAGGGGGCAGGTGTGCATCGGGAAAAGTGTGTGATGTATGGAGTATGTCAGCATGACAGAGCTGAGGGGGTTGTTTGGGGCTGGGTGTGTAAGTGGTAGCAACCGGTATGCTTGAGGGAGGTGATAAATGAAAGGCTTCAGTATGAAAGAAGGGAAATATTTGAGGGGTGAGCGTCCAAAGGGGGAGAAATGATAACTAAAAGGGAACGGAGGTATCCGTGATGAGACTGAGAGGGGTTGAACGTGTGAGGATGACATGCCTGATTGTAGGACTAATTGTGAGAGTATGCAAGGCAAAGCCCGTGCAGTGGGTGGGCTTGAAAGGCTGAACCTGAGCCTGGGCAAGTGGGGTGCAAGGGCTAAGTCTACCCAACCATAATTGCTGCCTTAGCCCAAGGCGTCAAAGATTGACCGGCACTTCCCTCCAAAATAGTCACCAGGGAAGATGGCCTGTGGTGTAGTCCTGGCCTCTTCCAATCCCTGGCCCACCAAGGGAGATGAATTCCTAGGGTAGTAAGAAAGAGTTAGTCACAGCCTCCTTCTCCCCTCCTCTTAGAAAGTATAGCCCTAGCTCCCTCAGAGCATTATGGGAGATGTAGTTCTAGCCTCTCAGAGCATTCTAGGAGATGTAGTCCAATCCACCATAGTCTCATGGGAAATGTAGTCTATGATTATCCAAAAAAAAACCAACCCCAAAACAAAACAATAACAACAAAAAACTGCTGCTTATGGGTCTTTCTGAGACCAACCAGACTTATTTGTCTCAGGTTCTTTCTACTCTGGACACTGGGAGTGATGCCCTCTCTTCCTGCAATTTTCTGGAAATGTCCATATCACCTGCTTTCACTACTTAGTTGGTACCCCCACCAATACCTAGTATCCCTCTAACTCTCACATCGTGAATGAAAAAATCAACCAAGGGACCTGACTGAAAATTTGCCCCTTTCTGTAAAGCCCATGACCTTTAACCAGTTGCTGTGGCATAAAGTGACCTTTCACAATTGCTCTGTCTTGAAATCAGTTTCATCTCAGTCCCAACCCAGGCATTGTTAAGGAGGAATGATGATGTAATGCTGGGTACCAAGGGCAACCTCTCTGAAGGAGAGACCCGTGAGAGGTCCCTCCTTGTGCGGTGGCCTGATGATCCTCACACCTGAGGGGTCAGTGGATTTGGTCTCCTGTTTGTATCTTGTGCATTTTCTGTGGTAGGTGAAATGAAAGTTGTGCCATACATGATGTCCGTATTGTTGACTGCATCTTTTTGCCTGAGGGACATTTGCCCACGTTTGGAGAGACTTGGACATGAGCTGTAGCTAAGCTTTCTTTTTGTACCACATGCTCTGAGGTATTTATGCCAACTCTTCAGACTTCAGGCTGTGGGCATCCCATATCTCACCCTGGAGGACTAGGAGATGTTTTTCTGATGCTGTAGCTCATGAGCCCCAACTGGTGTGCTTCCCACCATGATAATCAGTTGATATCAGTTAGTTAGACAGACTCAATTAGCTTTTAGGGAAGGCTATTTACTAAGGTATTATGATAAGAACCATTGGTACAATGTTCCCCCAAAGCAGGGGCATACCCTTGCACAAGTACATTTGGAGTCTGGGAATGTAGGTTTAAGCTTAGAGGGTAGGTTCAGCAAAGGAGTAACCCAAAGCTTCTGAATATCCCTTTGCCAGAGTCTATAAAATGTTCCCCTTGGGTATGGCAGGTATGGAATTTCCATAAGCATCTTTGTAGAGCCTTGAATCAGGTTCTAGTCTATGCTTTGCTCCTGATGTAGACATTCCTGTCTGCCGATGTAGGGGCTTGGCTGAGATGGTTAGACCTTGGTCAAAGAGCAGAGGGGAGACCGAGGCCCAAGGCTGTGCTCCTCCCCCAATGGATTCTTTCTCAGGGAGTTCATGATCTCTTCTTTCCACTTGAGTCAGTCTCTTGAGTTCTGAACCAGTTACCTGGTTTTATATAAGCCTCACGTAGTAGGACCAAATTTTCTCAGCCAATCTTCCTGGGGAATGAATGGCTTTTCCACACTTTGTCTAAAGCCTACGACTGATTGATTGAATGAGGTTGAGGTATCAGGACTTTGGGTGATTTGGTCGATTTGCTCAATCATTCCCTGAACTTAGGCAGAAATTTCCCTGGAGTTTTCTCTTGATTGGGGAACAATGAGCCAAGTTCAGGAACTGCCCCCTGTAGAGGCTGGGCAAGCCTAGGTCAATGTAAGCCCAGAGTCCTTGGAGAGGCCTTGAGTCACAGTATAGATAGATGGTTCTACCAGTCTAGCCTTCATCACTCTTCAGTCTACCATCATCGACTGGTTGGTGGATACCTCCACTGGGTTGTCCCATCCCCTAGGCATTTCAAACTCAGCATGTCCCAAAGTGACCCGATCTTTATCCAAAATCCTGTCCTCCTCCAAATTTCATTATTTCTATTCAATTTCAGCATTTGTTAAGTATTTACCACATGCCAGAAATTTTATTATATGCTAAGAATGAAGAAGATCTGGTCCTCAAGGAGCTTGTTTACTACTTAGGAGAAACAACATGTGAACAAAGGTAAAAAATAAATGCAAATTACAGGATGAGGAAGATGCCAGAAGACTCAGACTATTTTTTGTTTTCTTATTTGTATA